CGACAATAAACGAGTTTATTTATAGTTTCTCTCAAATTTTTCCCCAATTTTTTTTATCAATGATTTAAAAAATTTATAAAAAATTGATAAAATATTAAAAACATTATTTATAATAAAATTACATTCAATAAAATTAGAAAATTCATTAAATATAAAATAAAAAATTATAAAATATAAAACTTTCATAAATTATTTAATTTTATCGTAAAATTAATTAAATAATTGGATAAGAATGGCTTTTTTTAAGGCAATAAAATGAATAGAGGTTGGAAAAAAAAATTTAAAAAAAAAGAAAACCTCAAAAATTTTTTATAAACTTAATTTTAATTTTTATAATTTTTAATTTTTTATTTAATTTAATTTTTTATAAAGATAATTTTTATATATTTATAAATATTTAAAAATATTTTTATGCTATTTATTGCAATAAAAATTTGCTGATTAAGTAAAAAAAGTTTTTCAACTAGACCATATCCATTAGAATGGATTATAATGTGATAATAATGATAATAATAACAATGATAATAATAATGGTAATAGTAACAATGATAATAATAATGATAATAGTAATAATGATAATAATAATAATAATGATAATAATGATGATAATAATAATAATGATAATAGTAATAATGATAATAATAATGATAATAATAATAATCCATTATGATTAGTTGACCTTTCAAATTATGTGATTTTATCTATTTCGGAAATCAACGACATCTAATTTCTATTCAATTTACAATTTACATGTTTCGAATTTATGGAAAAAATAGCATTGGGAAAAATAGCATTGATTTACCCTTTTAGGTGGGAAATGAATTTGTCTCATTTTTCTTTCATTTTTTTAAAAATTTTCCTATATATTACTTATAATTTATGGAAAAAATAACATTGGAAGAGAATGATTTACCCTTTTAGGTGGGAAATGAATCTATTCGCTTCTATTTTCTTCATAATTTCTTACACATTAAACTATAAAGTTTTAACGCAAATGTTATATTTGTTTATAAAATTTCACTAAGCAAATCGGATCATTTTACATTTTTATAAAGTTTTAATCAACATTTCTATTTTTCTAAGGCGTCAAAGTTCACCGCAATCTGCCTTCTATATGAATAAATTTTTCATTAATTCGGATGATGCTGAAGGTCTATTTGCAATTCTATCCTCAGTTAGCTCCCTAAATAAAAATTTTTCGTCATACTAATAGGCCTAATAGGCCCATACAACAAGCCTAATGACAAAAATAAACCTAAGGCATAAACTATTATATTTTTATATTTATATTATTATATTATTATCAAATATTAATTTTCTATTTTAATACTATTTTAATAATAATATTTTAATATTTTTATTATAATAACATTTTTATAAATAATATTTAATAATATAATAATATTTTTAATAATATTTTATTAAATATTTTAATAATATTTTAATAATATTTTTAATAATATTTAATATTTTTATAATATTTTTATTATAATAATATTTTTATAAATAATATTTAATAATATAATAATAATTTTATTAAAGACAAATAAAAATTCTCGTTTTTGATAGAAAAAATTAAAGAAAACGAATATTATGATTATTGTTGTTTTCAAATTATTATTGAATAATAGTCGTAATTGCTGGTCGTTGTCGTTTTCATTGCCATCGCCATCCATCGATAGCATTAAATATTAAACAATAAAAATAGATTTTTTGGAAAAAAAAACTTAAAAAAATAAAATATAAAAAAATAATTTAAAAAATTAGAAAAAATCAAAATTTAATGTTATGAAAAATTGCAAAATTCGTAAAAAAAAATAAATATTTATCGAAAATTTTGCAAAAAAAAAAATACGATTTTCGATAAATTTTTGAATAAAATTTAAATAAAATTTTTGAATAAAATTAAAGAATTTTGATGAGAAAAAAATAAGAAAATCAAACAAAATGCATCGAATTGTGTTGAATTTTTATAATAACTAAGTTTTTTTTAGAAATTTTATTGAATAATAGTTGTTAAAGAGGCTTTGCATCTCGTTCCATCAATATTTCTACTAAATCTATTATATACAAATATAAAAGAAATGTCTTCCGCTGTTGGTGCTATGGATTATCCTTTGATCCTCTGGATTCTCGGATCTTCTGTTAGAACCCTGGTAGCTTAAACGTTATGCAGTATCTTATCCGTTCCTTATAGTGTGATCTTCTGGATAGAGATCTTTGATGTTTTATCTGGAATTTATTATATGGGACGGCCTATTTCTAGTGCTCCTGCCTGACTTTTATTTTTCATAGTTTCTCTAGTTCCTTTTTCAGCACCTAGTATCTCTCTAGTTTCCCATCTTCTTCTGATCAAGCAATATATAATTCAAGTGAGTATTGTTTGCATAAGTTGAATGAAAAATTTTTTGCTCATATTTTACCAACAGAGATCGATACGTGGCAAAAGCTCTACTTTGCTTAGCAAATGTTTTAGATAGAAATATAGATAGACTGATCACTGGTACCATATAGGTTTTTCATTGGTAGGTTTGCTATTATTAGCTATTAGGGAATCGAATTTCGACGAGAAGAATTGAAACCACTATACCACTCGATTATCTTTCCAGATTATAGGTGAAAACAAATGAATGACTATTTTTCCATTTTTTTAGTTTAGTTAAACATTGGACACCATTAGATAATCGTTTTCATTTACTATGACCGTTTAAAAAAAAAATTCTGATAAGGAAAATTATCAATTCATAAATGCAGTGTTAAAGAGTCGATTCAAAAACCACTTGCAATACATAAATCAAATCTCGACATCGTATTTTAATGTAAAATAATGAAGAAACCTGGACTGATATAGTCAGGAAAGATTTTGAACATATAAGGGGACCAGCGATGAGTGGACTTCAACGATGGAAAAAGGAATGGCTTCTATAACTACTAGAGATGGCGTCGGACCGAGGAGCTCACCTTTGTAGACAGCGGAGCCAGCCTAACCAGTAATGGTTGAGAGGTGTTAGAATAAGAAAACTTGGCGCATAATTTCATGTATTTCCTTATTTCCGGAGTACACCTGGAAAGAAAAATTCGAAGTACGAAACAATATGGCAATTTACAAGGAATTATAAAAAATTCACTTAGGACCAGTTGATTTTAAATAAAAACAGTATACATGGGTAACTTTTTTTTTTTAAGATCGCTCACCATTTCTGGTTATGCTCACTCCACTGCCTTAATGGATCAAATTAATGTTTTGTAAGGGAGTCATTTGGTGACTTGGTGACTTGGTAAGGTGAAGGTGGTTCGTTAAAGCTACTCTTTTAGATTTTTAAAAGATAGGTCAATTCTGCCGAAATTAGAATCTCAGCATTTGTGCATCGAACTGATAGTAGCAATGCTACTTTTCTTTCTTGCATGTGTATGTATGTGCATGTTGCATTAATATTTATCGCTCGAAGTTTACATCCAACATAATCGATTTGGGCGCATTTATCAGTTATCCGATGATCCATTATCACAAAATATTGCTCGGATTACCAAAGTATGAGAAAATATTACCCAAAGATTGCTCAGCACTTCACTTGAATTCTGGAGGGTGGTGGTGGGATGGAAATTACCTGGGATCCTTAGGACCCGACATGACACCACGAAAGTAAATCGACCGGTCCATGGTGAATTTCATAACCACGCTGAACCATGATTTGAAAAAATAATTCTACTTGCGTGTAGTATTTTTTTTTATTAACAAACGTATACGATTAACGCGTTAATACGAAACCCCGCCCATTAACTTTCTACAAAACATCGTGAAAATCAACAAAATTTGGCTAATTACCAATTGGCATATTGCCAAATGGGCAAGGGTCTTAAAACGAAAGTCTTTATTCGATATTTTTACTTTTTCCTTGTTTTTTTTTCACTTCGATTTTTATTTTTCCTACACTTTTTCGTTGGTTTTATTTTTGAATTGAAATTTAGAAAAATCCAATGAATCGGCGATAAAAAAATTTTTTTTATTCAAAAAAAAGAAAAATTCCAAAAAAAATCATCGAAAATTTAGTATAAAAATTTGGGATTAAATTTTCATTTAAGAAAAATAAATATTTTATGCGAAAATTTGCAAATTATTTAATTGTTATATTTAATTAAATTAAATAATTATTTTCTTATAAGCAATATTTATTATATTTTTAATATTTTTAAAAAATTTTAATTAATTAATTTTAATTTAATTTTATAAAAAATTAATTTTTTAAAAAATTATTTTTTATAAAGAATTGGTTAATTAGCGTATTAGCGTGGGAAAGACTGGGTCGGTTAGCGTGTTCAGTGAAGAAGATTAGGTTGGCCAGCGAATTCGAGAAAAATATTGGGCTGAACGGTGTATTAAAGAAGAAGATGGGGTTAGTTAACGCTTTCGGGGAAAAGTTGACTCGGCTAGTGAGCGAGGGAAACGTTGGTTAGCGAGTTCGAGAAAAAGATTGGTTCTTGAATGGTATATTCAAGAAGATACGGTTTGGTGAGTACATGTGGCGAAAAAACGATGGTTAGTGGTTAGTGGGGCCGATATCTTGTATTGATTTCTTCGGTAATTTATTTCGAAACAATTCGACTATAGCTAAAAAGAATGGCTACAAATAAATTAACAATCATTTCTTGAATGCTTAGCGTTCATAGCTATTTCTTTTAATTATTAAAAAATTTTTTATTATGTACGATTAGGAAAATGAAAATTTTATGTCCTTAATGTAGTTTCTTTTGAAATTTGATAAAAATTTTAAACGGAAATATCTGCACGGAAGGCAGAAAAAAAAAAAATGAAATTTGGCATTAAAAAATCACCTTAAGATTTTCTGCTGTCAGTTATTACCTTAAAATTATCGAAGCATCTGCAAAATATTTGATATTTCTGGCTTCCAGTATTATTTTTTAAAATTGTTTTAATCGATATTTTAAACTTATAATTATAATTAATTTTATTCTTTTAGAAGAGTTTATATTCGTACATTATGACACCTGAAGATGAACCAGTTATTGATGGACGACCTCTAAGTACTTTAAAGGTTATCGAACTTCGTGAAGAACTGGGCAAGCGTGGTTTATCAAAAATTGGCAATAAAAATATTTTATGCGATCGATTAAAGGAAGTAAGAATTTTTTGACATAACAAGTTTTTGTCATGCCAAAATATATTGAAAATAATTTCACTATTGCTGTATTGAATATTGCTTTTTTCAATTTTTTTTCGATGGACGATTCATATTTTAAAAGTTATTAGAAAATTTTAGAAAATTTATTCAGAAATAAATTATAAAAGAAAAAGATGGAAATTGTTGCATGGCTATGTCATATGCATATGCTTAATTAGTGGCTATTGAGTAGATTTTAATGGTGAGATCCAGGTGATACTTTGGATGGAAATTTTTCCCTTTCCTCCAATTGATTTTCTTGCTAGCGTCTTATTCTCCAATATTCAGTAATAACCAACATAGAAATGATAAGTGTTATAAGAAGTATTGATTTTAAAGGTTCAAGATTCATTTAGTTCAATAAAGTTTTTGAGGCTTTAATAATGTATCATCTGGCATAACTAAAAACTTAAATTTATAATTGCATGATCATCATTATTTAAAGCCATTAAAACTCTCGGAAAAGATTCTGTTTAGATTTAGATTTTTTCAGAGAAATCATCTTCAGTAGATATTCAGTTGACGGAGATAAAATAAAGAAAAATTAATCCTGATCTCATTTTCAAAAATAAGCAGAAGGAAGAATTTTATTAAGGGCTTCTAAGAGATTTTTTTCTTCTTTCTACTGAATAGATTTACATGACAGCATGACATAGCAGGCCGCCTGATGAAGTCGGATTTAAGCTGAGGCAGAAGCAACAAAATATTCGCATCATTGGATATAAGGAGGGATATTTCTTCAAATATCAAGAAGCTCAACTCTTTTGCTACAGCTAGAAAGATGGTTCGATTAGTCTTTCGCCCCTATACCCGAGTCGGACGATCGATTTGCACGTCAGAACCGCTTCGGACTTCCACCAGAGTTTCCTCTGGCTTCATCCTGCTCAGGCATAGTTCACCATCTTTCGGGTACCAGCGCATACGCTCTAACTAGTAGTTGATGTTTTCGATTTAAGAACTGGTGCATTCTTTATCTTCAATTTTTTCAACTGCAAGATAAATTGGATTCCTTTTTGGCACCAACAGAACATCAGTCCCGTCACTGATCTCGGATGCTGATGATGGAGCTATTTTTACTACATCGTTAAAAATTAGCAAAAGTCAGATTATTTATAGATAGCTGCAACGAGGGTCCGATCAGTAAAAATAAGTCAAAACTTTTCATTATTATTAATAAATATTATTATAAAATAGTTATAAAATGCCAATAATTTTAAATTTAATTCAGTTTCTCAGTGGGAAGATACAAAAAAGAGAGGGTGAAAATGCCGATGAACCTTCAGCAGATGATGTTCTTAAACAAGAAGTGAGATTTTGTGTGTGTTAACCTTTTTTTTATTGGTTTGAATCATTCCAGCTATATCACAATTATTTTAAGGGATCCCCATCAGCAAATCCTTTCGTTGCAGAATATTTGGCCAAACAACAAGCGGCCCTCAGAGAAGCTCGTAAGGATGCTGGTATGCTCAAGAATTTTCGTTTCATTCAGATGACTTTTTAGTTTTCGCCGTTTTCGCTGTTTCAACGTTGATTTTTGCTATTTATAATGGCTTTAGATGCCGTTCGACGAGCAGCATCAGGAGACGAGTCTTCTGCTTCGGAAGATAAACCAACCAGAATACTGCGAAGAGGTCGAAGCAGTCGTCGTGGAACAGCAACAGATTCGGAATCCTCAGAACAATCTTTTTCTTCACCATTGGTTGAAAAGAAGTTTGATATTATTTCCAAAAGTGATGTTGAAGAAGCTTCCTCCATTCACGTATTTTTTTTTTCTATTTTTGAAGAATTCATCAAATAATCATTGAATTTTTAATTTCTGATGATTTTTTTTTCTTTTTATTTTAATATCCATTTTGATGCATCTGTTTTTTTCAGTCACATGAAACCAAAGAACCGAGGAAAGAAATAAGTCCAGAAGCGGCAAGCTTTGCTTCGAAAGATGACATTGGAGTGGTTGACAATGAAGAAAAAGAAGAACCTATTGTAATTATTAAAGGTGAAGAAGAACAACGCACAGAAGTCAATGGTAAGTATTTTCATACTTCTCATATTCATACTTTTCTTATTGATTCAAACTCTTCATCAGGTAATATAGGAAATTTCCAGATGCCACTGCAGATAGAAGCGAAAGTCCAGAGGCCATAACACCACAGCAGGATAATAATGATATCCAGCAGAATAAAAATAAGAGCCCTGAAAAAAATTATGATACGAACAATGAGGAGGAAACATCTGAAACATTTTTGTATGCTTATTTAATCTTTTATTTTTTATTTATTGCATCGATAAATTTCTAAGTTATTTGAATTATATGCTATTTTAATTTACTGGTATTTTCGATTTTCAGCAAGAATAAAAAAAAATATGGGGATTCAAAGTTTGATAAAAGGCTTATAAAAGGTAATGATGGAAATGATGGAATGAAAATAGGAGAATTTTTGCAAGATGAGACACAAGAAATGAGCGGTGGTAGTCCGATGAAGTCAGAAGGATCTGATTCAGCAGATGAGCAGTTATCCAGTTCCGACTCTCCAAACAGCGAAAGCGTTTCTTTTAATTATTTATTTTAATTTTAAATTATTTGTTGTTTTAAAACTGTCGAATTATATTTACAGTTGTTTTTGAATTATTTTATGCATAAAAAAATCCTTATTCCCTGTGGGTGATGAGGATTATCTTCAATCGTAGATGGTGTGCCAGAAGTTTAGATGATTGAGGATTTTGTGTAATGTCTTAGTTTTTCTTAGCTATATATTTTTAAAAGTGGAGGCAATTTTCTGTTGAAGCCAATTTTCTGGTTTAGGGGCTTCTATATGTATTTGCAGTATGTATTTATATGTATTAAAAAAATCCCCTTCTTACCATCTATGGTGGATCATTTCCCTCAGTCTTCGGTTTTCTACCAGTGGCCAGAATTTAAGAAATCTAGTGGCATTATACTGGACGGAATTTTGGATAGAGATATTCCTGGAATCTTGGAACCAGTTCTCCAATTTAAAACTCACACCATGATGTTTGCTGTTGCCATTGAGATCTTTGCTTTACGGATGCTGTTGTTGCTCTTTAAGGCTTTAATATTTTTTCTAAATGCATTTATCACCTTCGAATTCTTATTCATCAGTGGGCGAATGGCCAACACCTGATTCTTTCCCTAGATAATAAGGTCACGTTCATCTGTTTTCTTTGACCTTCTTTCAAATCCCCCATCTAATCACAAGAGGATATAGTCAATTCCAGCTATTTGTTATTAACGATGCTTCGCCAGTGCATATTATTCCTGGTGTTAGGCAGCCTCCTTGCATATTCTTTAATCCTGTTTGATGTGCTGGTCTAAAGGCCTAGGTATGGCTTAGATACATATAAGGAATTGTGCAGTAGGAACAAAATCTTATACATTTCTTAGATTTTATTAATAAAATATATTTCTTTCTAAGCAAAGATAGGCTTATCTTTATTTCATTCTATTAAAGTCGAGGTTAGCCTACAGTAGAGACTAAATAGCTGTGGCATATACCTGTTCATTAATTTCAGACTCATGATTCTTGTGACTCATGACACTCAAACTTGTTGAGTTCATATTCCGTTGTTCTTTCCACTTTTTCTAAATTCTGTTGTAAAGACTTGGTCTTTCTGAAGTTCCGCGAGCAATTTCTTCTATTTGAAGCTGTAGGTGTTTCTCAATAGGTGATGATAAGTTTTTTATCCATTCATAGTTTTGCATCAGTTCTTGTATCTTGCTTGTCGTTATGAATAAGATATTTCCAATAGCCTTTATATCAGATTCCTTTTTGTTTGTCTTTCCTTCTGGAAAGATCGTCTACGACTCGAAATTTTTGTTCTTTTTAATTTGACCCCTGAATTAATCTTAACCGCTGCATTATATATATATATATATATTTAAAGGATGACGCGGATGAAAATAATTGTGTGCAAAATAACGATGAACGAAGTAATACTTCTGACAGTGCAGATGACATAATCCGAGAAGCCGATACCCAATTATCTGTTTCTTCCGATATTAAAAGTATGATTTCCTTATTATGGTTTTGACAAATTCTTTATAACGAAGTAAGATTATTTATAATTTACAGTTTATTTGTAGCAATTTGGATTCTTTTTTTAAAGCCTTTTAGCATATAGAATTAAAGCGTTCGGTGAATAAATTAAGTTTGATAGGCTCATACGTAATTGCGATGAATTATACAAAAAAATTATTTTCAACCCGAAAATTGATATCAAAATAGGTCGTTTAAATTTGTTATTTTACCATTAAATTCTTTCATTTTGTAACGATTTCATTAAATTTTATTATTTTAAAAAATGAGTCATAAATTTATTATAACCTCATTTTTACTTCGCTCTAATATCGTTTAACATTTGAACGCTTTACATCCACTTTTCTTATGGCAGCTTTCACCATTACCTGTTAGGCTGGCTGCGCTAGTTGCAAGTATATGACGTACTCAAGCTGCTTTGGTCAACATCTGGCCTCGCTTTTAAGTAGCCAGTAGACGGTTCCTTGTTTTTCTTGGCAGGTTTCGAGCAGGTAACCTGGCTCGCGAGCACATTTTGTTCTCGAGTCTTTGTCTCACTATGCCTTAATTGCATACTTATCGCATGCACCACTAGGTTATAGGTGTCATACACGTCGTAGGACGCGCACGCCGTATTAAAAGGACCAGATAGCCAGTTGGATTATCGTAGAAAGTTTATTGTTTATTCTTATTGAAGAAAAAGAGATATAAGAGTTATGGATGGGATATGGATGGATGGATGAACAAAAATAGAAAATTAAAGGGGAAATGAACTTAAAAAGGAAAAAAATAGATTATAACTTTTAATAACTGCAATCTGTGAGAGAAAAGTGACCTTAATATTTAATTGATAGATTTTGAGGGATTTGTCAAAGAAATCTTTTCGGCGGGTCGGGGTCACCAATTTAAAATTTATGATTTATGGTTTTTCCTCACTATTCGGTGGCATTCAAATTTTCTTGTAATATAAATTTTCTTGGAATCCTATCGTAACAGCAGATAGAAATCGAAAAAAAGAAAATTGAAGAGAAAATAGAAGAAAAAAGAATATTAACATAAAAATTATTTTAAACAAATGGTGAGATGCTTGGTGAGATATTTCACGATATTAGAGTTTTAGAACTTTACCGAATAGAAATAGGAACATTATGGGAAAATTATTAGATATTTTTTATTTGACTTCTATTTTCAGACTTATTTTTTATGTTATAACCAATTTTATACCGTTATTTTCATTGTTTTTTTTGGAGGCATGTTGTTTTAAACATGTATTTTTTAAGATGCGAAGAACATGGAAGATATAGTAGAAAATAAAATAAAAAATGAAAAATCGGAGGAAAATTCTGCGAATCGAAAGCGTCGATGGAAGGGAACATCGGTTGTGGATGACACAACTATTACCGTCTCTGTACCTGCTACAAAAGAAAATAGCAATGATTTTTTTATCTCACATGAATTAGACATAGATAATACAGAAAAACGTATATCGGACATGGACGAAGATACCACAGAAGATAAAGAAAAACTTGAAGAACTTGATTACGAAGAGGCTGTTCATCTCGGAGAAGAAACAGATAATCATTATAAGGTAGTTCTGCTATTTTTAGTCAGTTTTCCGCCTTGCACATGCTTTATTTTTAATGAGTATTTTTAGGTTGATGAAACGAAAGCGGTGAATGAAAAAACCAGTGTTCGCGAAGTGCAGTCAAAGTCACGAGGTGTGAGAAAGTTTTGCTGTTAAGATTCGTTTTTTTATTTTCATAAGGCTTTATTTTATTTATTTTGAATATAAATTTATTAATCCTCATTGATTTTTTCTGAAATTTTTTTTTTACTAAGTTCGGTTTATAGATAGGCGTGCAAAAGAAGAACATGACCGATCACAGCGACAGAGTTCTAAAGATAGGTCATCCCGAAAGGAGGAAAAAATTACTGAAGATGGTTTCATTCGTCGAAGAAGCCTTTCACCGTCTAGATATCCTACTAGCAATGTGAGTAATACTTGAAGTTTTATTTGATAATTTTTATGGTAATTATGGTAATTATATTAATGATGAAAGAAAGAAAGAAATACTTTTGGTTGCCATATTTTATTTTCGAATCAATGCTTTTTTGATATGGATATTTCTGTTTGAGGTTATTATAATACGACAGCTCACGCGTCCATTTACCGTCAAGCAACTTCAACAGCTTTTGAGCAAATTTGGTCAAATTGCTGAAAATGGATTCTGGATTGATAATATTAAATCAATGTGCATAGTGAAGGTTTATCTTAATTTATTACTTTTATTATGTTATTTGAAAAGTTTTTTAGTTTATTTTTTATTTCTTAAAAATGGTTCAATCGATTTTCTGCTCTCCTTTATGTTTACATTTCCATTCACTCTGATCCATCTATGTACTGACCTAATATATAAAACTCAATCAATTTTGTGTTTTTCAGTTGTGTTCAGTTATATATTATCTTTTTCAGTATTCAAGTGTTGAAGAAGCTGTTATTGCTAGAGGAAGACTGCATAACGTAGTTTGGCCATCTTGTAGCCCGAGAATGTTGAAAGTCGATTATACTGACGAATTACGTGTAAGTGCAACTTTTTAAAATAATATTTTTTTTAATATTTAATATTTAATAATAATATATTTAGAATTCAGAAGTAATTTAGAATTATAATTAGTTGTTGTTTAGCTGAAACGACATATAGAAGGCGACAAGCGAACAGAAGGCAAAGATAAAAAGGATCCCACGCACGAAACAAAAGAAACCATTGATGGATCTAACGCACCAAATCTTCGTATCTCTGTAAATGTTGACGTTGATCAAAGTAAGCGTCAGTTGCATGTTTCGTCATCTACCCGCGAAAAATCATCAAAAGAAGTTGATAAGGAATTGAAAAATCGAGATCATGATAGAGAACGACGAAGGAGACGGGCATCAGATTCGCCTAGAGTACGTTTTTTGAATTCAAATCTAAGATTTTGTTCCATATTATTATTGTCACCACAAAGATTAGGCTTATTAGATATTTTTAGCTATTGATTTGAAATTTTTTTGCATATTTTTATTGATCACATATTAATTAAACTAAGATTTAAAGCATGTCGACGAGAAACGGGTTCGGCGAAGTTCTCCATGGCGAGATGAACATAGAGGACGAAGACCTGTTGAAGGACAAAACAAAGGTTCATTATTTATTCTTTTTGTATAAAAAATAAAAAGTTTCTGATTGCATTGTTTATAAAACCAGTAATCCATTTATAAATTTCTAGTAATTAAAATAATGCAATTTAATAATCTCGAAATTTTTGTAATAGAAATATGATAGTGAAAATATGCAAAGGATTGATATTCCAAAACACTTTTTTTTGAAAAAAGTTTAAAATTTAAATAAAGTTGGTTTCAGTTTTTGGATAAATTTGAGGTGATTAATGGAATTCGATGTTCACTTTGACCATAATAATTGTTTATTAGATTATTTATAAAGTTAGAGAAAAGTTAAGTTGAACATTGGTACCTCCAAAAATTGGTAGAAAAATTCACGTCTTTCTTAAATTGCATAATTTAGAAAAATTTATAGAACCAGAAAAACGACTTAAGACGGCAGATGAATTATATCAAAAAACCAAGACGCAGCCTGCGATTTATTTTTTACCACTAACCGATGATCAAGTAAGTGAAATTTATTTATTTTTATGGGAAATGAAGCTGGTAAGACTATATTTGCAAATTTGTTAGAAGCAATAAGCCAGAGAATAAAATGAGGTATTGGTAAATAGAAATTTTGGAATAAATTCTATAAATTATCAGGTCGTTAATCTTAATATGCGAAAAAAAATTTATTTCATTCCATCATAAATAAACTTATGTTTGAATTTATAAAACTCTTCAATTTTTGTTAAATGTTTTCTTAAGTTTTCTGGAATTTTATTTCCCTCTTATCTGCTTACAGATTTTCTTTTTTTCCTCAAAAACAAGTAAAATATATGATAAAAATAAAAAAATTAGAAAAAATCTCGAAAATCTTTCTTTAAAAAAATTTTTGTGGTAAGGATTTTGGATTGACAGAAATATATATTACATTTTGTTCTCTAAATTGTGTTGGTTTAGATCTTAGAAAGAATAAAACACAAAGAAATGGAAGCAAATTTGACTAAAAAGCAAGCCGTATCCAGCGCAGGAGATAAGCGGAAAGAGAAGGATGAAAATCCGAACGTAAGAAAAGAAAAAACTTCAAGTCGTCACACCGCAAACTCACCAGCACGTAATATTCGTGGTCGCTCGCCAGTTTTAGCTCGTGCACATAGGTCTTCAAGATCTCGTTCTCCGCGACGCCGCCGTTGAATCGTCATTTTTGTATTTGAGATTATTTGGCGGTTAACTTTTTTTAAGTTGTTTTAACTCCTATTTTTAAAAATACATTCTCCTTTTTAAAAATTTTTACCCAATCCCTATCCGTTTAGTTTGCAGATATATACTTTTTCTACCTTCATATTTCTTTTCGTTGTTAAATACGTAGACTTCCCTTCTTTCCTCCTCCCTTTTATCATTTTTTTTTCTTGGCCTTCCCTTGTCGTCTTAATAATTTTTGCCCCTATATACTATAGACTTTGCACTCTGCAGTAAGTAGCGATATGGAGGGAGGATGAAGATTTGCGAAATTATATCACAAAATTTCAATTATTCGTCCTAAGTATCGAAAATTTATTTCAACTAAACGAAGAACATTATTCGCAAAACCATCGATCGACAAAGAGCAAACGGTCGAGTCTACTTCGCCTTATGAAAAACAAAATAATACAGCAGCATTAACGTTACGAAATTTGAGTCGTTTGTGTTAACCTAAAAGGAAGAAATCATGAAAATGTCGATTGGAGGAAAAAGTACCGAATATGCATTATTTATCGTTTTGAATACAGCACAGTTCGAAATGAAACAAATAATTTTCGAAAGGCTTAGAGATTTTGTGCTGAAACGTCTTTTTTCCCAGCGATTCTTAAATTTTCATGGAAGATTGTTTCTGAATGCTTGTTATGGTTTTGCAAAATAAAATGTTTTGGATATTTAAGGATGTGCACAAATGATTTAAACCTTGCATATCCTAAAGAACCTGAACCGTAAACAGATAAAAATATGATATAGAATGGGTTTAATGGGCTTTTGGCCTCTAATCGATGATGAAAAAATTGGGGTTCACTGATTTAAGCAATTTCATTATTTAAATGAATACAAAAATAACTAGGGAACGAAGGCAGTATATACTCAAAAAATTTCAAATGAAACATTTTTCAATTAGTAGGAATGGGCTTAATAAGATCAAATTGTGTTGTACTGGTAGAGAATAGAAAGAGTCACTCGTCTAGTTCGACTGCTCCATTTATCTCATTTTTTTCAATAAATTGAGGCGATAATTCACGCTTTGTGTCGTGAGATTTCTGATGAAATACGAAAGTAACCGAACCACAATCGAATACACCTTTCAGAACCTAAATTTTTTCTCGTAAGTCGCAACATCAAGAATTTTTAATGCCAATTCTTTATAAAAATTCGAAGCTAATCCGTCACCGAATGAACTACTTACGTTAAATCCAAATCCAAATTGAATTCACATTAAAGCCGCAGCTCGTGAAAATTTTTTCACCTTGTTTCATTCATTTTGTTTTAACCAAGATCATCATATATAATAATCATCATAAATGAATAAATAAAAAATAAAATGTCCATTAATAAAATGCGCGAATTCTCTAAATACTTTTATTTTTGTATTAATAAAAATTACGATACCTGATCAGGCACTTTGCGCATATCACGTTGAGCATGAAACCATTCGCTGAGGTCCGAATTAGTATCAGCTGATTCTCTCGGTTCCCTATACTCCAAGCCATTAATACAACGCTTGCATTTCAGGCTAAATGGTATGATTTATAAGTTGATAAAAAGTCATTCAAAAAATAAAAAAATTGTCGCAAAATTTTTCAAATTCTGAACATAATAAGTGAAACTCTCTAAAATAAAACCCTTATATAAAATCTCAAAAATTCTCACGAATCGTGCGTATCGGATGCCACATCAGTTTTAAGTTCAAATAGATGTCGAAGTTGCTCTTTGCTAAAATGGCGTGCAACATCCATCTCCTCATCCACGACACATGACGATAATGCTTTTTTGTGGGTTTGTCGTTGAAATATTTTCTCTTCGATTGTTCCGGCCTGCAAATAATCAATAAAATAATTAGTTGCGGATTTGCGTTCGAAAATAAAACGGTCAGCTAGAATTGCGAAAGATTCATGCGTCATGAATAGAAATTCTCATACATAAATAAATATCAAAAGGTTTTTTAAGTCCACCTCGTTTTTTTAACACACCGCATTTCAAAATACCGCTACGCTCTTTTGTCATAAGCTGTAATACAACACCGTAATTATACCCTTTTCATACTCTTTCTCAAACCCTTTATATTAGCCCTTCCATTCCTAACAGTAAATTATCTTCCTTACAACTAACCCCTCTTAGATCTTTCTGTACTCTTCTCGAAGCCAGTATCTCCTTATCGTTATATCTTCTTACCATTTTAAAACCCCAAAAACCCCAAGTTACACAACTGACCGCCAACAAACGGTAGATAAAGCAATGTTTTTTTTGCCCATCTCTCCAAATTCTTGCCATAGCTTGGTCATCATTCGCAGGATTCCAATCAGGATCGAACATTACCAGACGATTCGCACCAATAAGATTTAGACCACATCCACCTGCTTTTGAAGATAATAAAAATACGTATTCTGGACTCTAAAGTTGAGATAAAAATTACGCTGAAATATTTAAAATGATCCTTTGTATATATGTATATATATATAATATAATATATATATATATATATATATATATATTAAAATACACTATTTTTTATGATACACTATTAGAGGGAAGTAAATCAAACAATAAAAATGGTTTTAAGCGAAAAAAAATACTAAACCCACCAAAAGAAAAAAACTAACAAATAATCTTATACCTCAGGATCGTTAAACTTTTCCACGATCTTTGCTCTCTGTTTGATAGAATTACTACCATCCAATCGTACATACGAATAATTTCGCATTTTACAAAGCTGCAAATATAAGATATTTTGAAAAACTTTTAATTTAAATAAAAAAGCAGAAAGAACACAAAGTTTTCCAATTTAAAATTTTTCAAAGGATTTGTCAGTGGTAAGTTGATTCATTAGAGATTAAGATTGTAAGTAAATTTGAATTCTAGATATACAAAATACATAATATATAAAATATGGTGATGCTGACGATTGACGAGCACATCAAGGTAATTTCCTGCGAATCTAATCAGCAATGGTGAGTGTTTCAAAAAAAATTACACAGCCCAGCTGCCTTTATTTTTTTCTAAAAGTGTCCACCATCAGCACGCTCACTCCGATGGCTTATCGGACCAAACAATTTTAACCACTTAGAATCACGATAGCAATTTTAACCACTTAGAATCACGATAGGCGATAGAAGGTAAGTCGCATGCATCACCCGGAATTTCGAAAAGCTTACTCCTGCCGAGAGTAGAAGGCCACATCGGGTTATCGAAACGAAACCCACAGAACCAATTTACCGCTCCATTTGTCTTTATTCTCAATTGAAAAGTGTAATAAATGATCTTACCTTCTTAACTAGAGCAATTAGCAAAAATGAAAATCATGCGAGTTGTTAGAAGGAAAAACCATCCAAGATCCATTTAAAATTAAATAAAATTAAACTCTACCTATACTCCATTATAAAAAATAACCTCAACAAAAGAGTCGATTGTTTGTGTATAATTTGATACCAGTACAAATTTATCTTTAGTAGTTTTCTTTGCGATCGCAAGTAAATAATCGAGAACCTTCATTTTACCCGAAAATGCTGGCTCAAATGACTTGGCGTTAAACCCAGAAGGGAAGAGTCCAATGCAATCTATGAACCATTTTTAATTAAAATTTTTTCTTTGAAAAAATGGTGAATAAAAAATGTTTTGCCGCTATCCCTAAGAAATGAATCATTCTTTTTCTTCTTATCAACTTCGAAATCAACAAACCTTGGAAACCTTCTTCTTTATTCAAGCATTTTTCATAAATTAACTGAGGATGATTGCATAATTTCTTTAGATTTGTGATATAGGATAATGCAGCGCCGGTCATCCTACCTTCTATAATTTTATTTTAAAAAAACAAAAAAAAATTTTAAAAAATGAAACCATTTGGTTAGATTTAGGTGATATCAGTAAACTCTATTAACTCTATTAAAATAAAATTAATCAAAATTATTCAATTAATTAATACCATCTTTGCTGTCTTGCTTGATTTTTATCGAAGAAACGATTCGCTTATATAACTTTTCCTGTACATCAGTCAGTTGGCAGCATATTATTAATTCATATTTCACCTACAATTTAGAATATAATGATATAACTTTCATGCGCAGTTGTTAAGTTGACATATATCCTTTATATACAACTGGAGAACACATTGCTTTAACTGAGACTAGGTATTAGCTCGGGTCATCTCTGATGGCAGAAAATCTATCATTAAAATGTCCCGATGTTACTGGGAACTCATCTGCACTTTATCTGATTCTCTAATGAAAGGCCATCATCTAATCACTGATAGCAG